TATGTGGTCCCCGTGTATTATTTATTATTATTATTATTATTAGAGGGGGTGGGTTTCCCCATGCACCGCGACTAATAGTCTATTGTACGTCCCCCTTTGATATTCTACCAGTCGCCATACCCTGCCGGTACTGGTGCTTGCTATCGGCCCCGTTCAGCCAGCGAAGCTGGCAGTGGTTTCCGATACTTCCCCATCTACCGGAGGATTTGGAAACTACTTGGGTGGGAAACTTTGCCTAATTTTGCTCAGAGGTCTCCTAGAGACATGAGGATCTTTTATGTGCCGTAAATCTACGACACAGGACCCACGGCTTCAAGTCCCTACTGGAGGACTTGTTCCCTGAATTTTTCTGCCCTTAAAAATTCCACGACCTCCGCTGGGTTTGAACCTGCGTACCTTGAGTCATGAGGTGGGAACGTTACCCCTGGACTATGGAGGCCGCTTAGCATAAATATAACTTTTTGTGTTGTGATTATCATGAACCTCCAGAGGGAACTGAAGGAAGTTGAGTCCTGAACTCTGTGAATACTATAATATTGTGTCATATACACCTGTTGCTAGGCAAAGACCTTGAAACAAATGCGTACAGCCATTGCTATATAATAGAATAAACAAATTGGCATTTCTGAGCAATGGCTCGGTAAACATAGTCCCACAAAAATTAATATGCATGCAACAACAGAAGAATGGTGTTTCTGATGTGGTCTGTACCAAGGAGATATAAAGAAGACAACTAGGGTAATTCAGTTGAGGATTGGCAGTTCAGGTGAACTCTGCAAGGGAGGCTGAGAAGAGATGGTGATCCAGTTTAGTTGAGACTTGAAAGTTCGGTGGTGAAGAAAAGAGTTAGTTGCAAGAGTGTGGCTGTAAAAAGAAGACTTTATGTGTGCTGTAGTTACAGTGAGACTGTTATAAAATTCATTGCCAGGATACAACTAATGAAGATTGAGAAGACTTAGCATGTGCTAGTGATTTGTAAAGTGTGTAAATCAGCGATAAAACTGTAATTACTTGTACTCCAGAGTCGTGGCTATAAGTGATCAATAAATCCATTCACCAACCCACATCCCATCTACAGTCACACATATATATGTATGTGACAATATGGATGCAGGCACTTAGCTGAGCTGCAGGGCCCAGATATTGTTTTGACAGCTTCACTTTCTAAAAAATTTCTGTGACTGTAACTTGTATGTCATAAAGTTAAGTTCACCATTTCTGTCTTCACACAGGGGACACACTACCACTAAGATGAACTCCAACTGAAAAGGACATAAACTCTGTGACCTATAGTCTGCAAGCGAACTATACTGAGCGACCGCCGTTTGTAGGCAAAGTTAGTGCCAACTTTTTGCTGATAGAGGGTGTCATGTGGTCAGCACAACGGATCCCCATGGCCGTTAATCTCAGGTTTCTAGACCGGAGAAAAGCATATATTACTAAAAAAGTTACTGTAAAAAGTTCTTGTGAATATTAAGTATCATTAAAATTACATTACCGTTGAAATGTTCTTCACTTTGGGACAATGACTATAATGACATCTCACCAAACAACTTACATATGTATCAACTTGTGAAGTGCCCAATCTTTTATAATACAGTATTACCCCTTTCAATTTCTTCATGTAAGAAATTTATGAGAACTTTTACATGTGTAGTACAGCTCATACATTGCATTTTCTTAGGATTAGTGGACAAAGTGAAGAATCTGAATTTCATAATAACTGTCAAGGCAAAGTTCAAGAATGAAAATTTGGTTATTTCGATGTAATACTGCAGAGTACAAAAACTGTGTAATCAAGTACACAACTGACCTGTAAGTGAATTCCTTGGTGCACAGAGCATACAGATGTAAGAAAGTGTGCAAGAGCCTGAAGTAAGGCCAGTGGAGACGTGGGGCTTATGGATGGCATGACCTCCCTTCCTCCCCATACCAGTGCACCAAGGGACGGAAGTGACTGAGGATCACGATCCTTCCCAGAGCGTTTCATGCTCAGCAGACAAGAGCTTGACCTGCACAAAACAGGAACCTGATCTTTCTCACTGCCAATGATACTTCCTTGCATCTTCCAGATTCTTCTCGGTTCTGAGAATCACCTCCCAGAATGCTTCAGACAGAAGCTGGCACAGTGCAGTTTATGGTTGTGAAGAATTAGATCACAAACAGCCATCGGACATGTTCATAACATATCACCGCAGAAACTAAGTACCATGTTACAACACTTCATTAGTTATATTGAAATATTTTATGCAGGCACCACACTGCTATTGTTCATTTTCTTAAATTGACTTAGCAATGTGTGTTAGCTTTCTTTTTTATTGCTAGTGGGGTGGGACTAAGTCCCCTGTACTGCGGCCACTTCTGGCCTATTGTACCAACCCCAGATGATAGGTGAGGGTGATTGTGGAGCAATTGGTGGAATGAAGAATGGCAGGGGAAACTGAAGTACTCGGAGGAAACATGCCCCAGCGCCATTTTGTTCACCACAAATCCCACTTGACCAGACCCGGGATCAAACCTGGGCCGCTGCGGTGGGAAGCCAGTGATTAACCACTTGAGCTATGGCGCGGTCATGTGTTATGTTGCTGACAGTATCAATGCTAAATTTATACCTCAGATATATTTCAGTTCCCAATGATGTGGCTGCAACAAACATGTCCTGACATTCACTATTTCTCAGTGCCACTGACACATACGTTCATCATAGGCAATTTTAAAGGTTCACGACAAAAATTAATAATGGTATTACTAATATCTGGCACATTATATCTCACATAAAAGTTAAAAAAGGTAAAGTTATCCCTGTAACAGGCCATGGAAGCCCATAGGGTTGTGAGATGTTGAGGCTCCCACATTTTCTCTAGACAATCGTCTCACAGATGGTGGTAAGGTTGTCAGCCTTATGCACCGGCCACCTTTCAGCCCCCAGGAAGATTCCTGGTACTCATTTCTGTTAGAGACTGAGTCGACCCCAGGGCCATAGTACAGCTGGAAGAATTAGGTAAATTGAAAAAAAATCCACCTCATCGTGACTTGAACCCACATCCTGGTTTGTAGCATAGTGCCTTAACCAACTACGCTACCACATACCCTCATTATATCTCATATAAACCCCTAAAAGAAACATCTTCTCCCAGAGAAAGTTATGTATTCATGAGCAATTAATGCAGCAGCGAATGTGTTAAGTTCATATCCCTCCACCAGACACCATCTCACCATCTAGTTACAATTAAATTAGTTGAGTCTGCCTCTCATGTGATTTCGTCTCATAAATGAACCTTTCAATTTCATTGCGAGCAAACAGATGAAGGCAGTAGTGCCACAGCAAATGACACTCACTTGACTCTACTGCATATGAGCTTGAAGTTTGAGCTGTTCAGTAATGGCAGAATGGCACAGTTCATCAGATCTTCGATCTCAAGCAGAGAAACTGAAACCAGCCCAGGCTGAAACAACCCCAAATAAGTTACGATAAGCTTCAAGTTGACAAAATGCTATGTTTAATAACTGGCAACATATTCAACAACTGATACTAAAACTTCAACATGACCTTTAAATAGCTGCACTCTCTAACTGCTGGCACTTCATCTATGAAAATGGAGTCATCATGTGAAGGTGCGTTAGAGACTGAAGGACAGACAAAAGGTAAGGCTCTACTCAAAGCAGTATGGTCCCAGGCAACTCCCTAATGCTTTCATGAATGCCAGGATATTGTCCTGGCACTTCATTTAAAGACAGTATTGCCAACATATGTAATGTTTAACAACAACTAATAAAAGCTGTTCTTATTATTGTTTTCTTTAAAAGGCATAATTTCACTTTCATTATGGAATATTATATTCATGAAAATATTCAAAAGGAAAATTTTAACAATTTTTTATTAAAGGTTTTCCAATTAGTGACTGTTTCAATATCAACCTCTCTGTATGAGGTTGAGGTGTCAACCACTTTAAGTATGTCGCTTTCATGTCCTGTTTTTCTTACCATTCTGCATTTTAAAGTGCAAAGCTATCATTTTGTAAACAATGAGAATGGTCTCATATCATGATTCATGAACACCTCTTTCATCCTGGAAACGTATGCCACATGCCTCTGTACTTTTGCCTTTAGGACCGCATCCTTGATTTTAGGGGCATAATCTGTCCTTTGCATCCAGCTTCAAGAATTAGAACATTACAAAATGAGTCCCAGTTCCATATCTATGTCTTCGATTCCCAAGTAATCTCTTTCTTTCTCTTAAAATATCAAAGGATGTGCCATTTTTGTTTTATGTCTGTACACACAAGTATGCATGCACACACGTTCTTATGTTATTAAATAACATACAATATGTCAGAAGAATAATGAATGGTGACAGAATATGAGAGGATGCAATCATGAGACCATTTCAAGATACTATTCCACCCATCACTTAAAGGGACTGAAGAAACTGATATAAAACCCAAGTCACCTAATACTTGGGGCACACAAAATTCAAATCTTCAACACGTTAGTATATCCTGAGGCTCCTCACAGTTTCCCTGTCTCTTCTGATGAATGCCAGGGAGGTATTAGCATAAAACTGGGAAAAAACTCATTGCTTACCCCACCATTTTATTTTTCATCATTCATTAAATGTTCACAGACTTTCACAGACTTACAAGTCATGATGAATGTAATCCTAATTGCCAGTCTACTAACTGTAACCCTTTCTCCAACATGAAATGCTCATAGATGTCAGATCTGAAACCAATTTCCATTCCTTTGCTACAGCATTTAATGCTATAATCTTGAAACAAAATATTTTTACAAGAATCTCATTAGCTCCACTATCCTCAAAGGGAGCCATACGAGGTATGACAATAAAGTTCACGAACTTACCAACGTGTTCTTGCCATGGCGGCAGTGGACAGAAACCTCAGTATTGTTCGATGATGTTGGCATAGTAGTGTTTCACAGCTGTGTTGTTGTTGATCTATGGCATTATCTTTCTGAGTGGTGTCTATTATTGTCTAAGTGTGTTTGGGTGTGCTGTCGCAAGGATGTTGGAGCTTGAATTAGAGCATTGACTGTGGGGAGTTTTTAGCTAGTAAACAAATAACTGTGCTGGAACACCCTCCCTATTCACCGGATCTAGCCCCTGGTGACTTTTTTCTGTTCCTGAAGATAAAGGAAATATGGAAAGGAAGGAATTCTGATGACATCAGGAGTAATACGACAGCAGGTCTGAAGGTATTCCACAAAACCAGCTCAAAATTGTTTTGCAGGGTACACTAGGCGCTGGCATTGGTGCATAGCTTCCCTAGTGGAGTACTTTGAAGGTGACCACAATGATATTCAGCAATGAGGTAGTTCGCGAACGTTATTGTTGACCACATAAAGGCCAGACACCACATTTCCAGTATGGTGCTACATACAAGGTTGTTCAAATATGATCGGGACTGATTTGTGTGTAAACAAGCCGCACTGCGCAGCAGCTGTGCGACCTTGAGAGAGTGAAGCCACAACCTCCACCCTCCCTCCTGTTCAGGTTAGAACCTGTTCAGTCCTGTATGGGAGTTGTTAGTATGATGAGAGAACAGAAGGCACAGTGGAGCGTGGAACAACGCACTGTTCAGTCCTGTATGGGAGTTGTTAGTATGATGAGAGAACAGAAGGCACAGTGGAGCGTGGAACAACGCATTGTGATCAAATTCCTTGTTGGAGAAAACGTCCTGTCTGAAATTCACCACAGACTCCAACAACAGTATGGGGAAGAGTGTCTCTCATGGACCTGTGTGTTGGAGTGGTGTAAATGCTTCAGAGAGGGCAGAGAGTGTGTGGAGAATGAACCGCATGATCGTCGGCCGCGAACATTCATCACCGAGCCAAACCTTGATCATGCAAATGCGCTTATTTGTGAGACTAGGTGCATCAGTATCAAGGAACTTGGTGCAATGCTGTCCATCAGTCTTGGTAGTGTAGAAGACATCATAAAATACCACCTGCACTATCGCAAGGTGAATGCACGGTGGGTGCCATGCACTTTGACAGATGTGAACAAAATGGTGCACATGCAAGCTGCCAGTCATCTCCTACAGTAGTTTGAAGACAAAGGTGGATGCATTTTTGAAGTCTATAGTGACCACTGATTTAATGTGGGTGCACTACTTCATTCCCAAGTCCCAGCAGTCATATGGCAGCATACCAGTTCTCCAAAACCCAAGAGAGCACGGAGGAGCCATTCGGTAGGAAAAGTGATGGCAACGTTCTTCTGGGACTGGCAGGGGGTTATCCATGTAGACTTTCTGACAGATGCCAGAACAGTCAATGCAGCTTATTACTCAGACTTCCTGGCAACAGATGTGAAGGAAAAGAACCGATCCAAGCAGAAGACAGGTGGAAAGTGGGTAGCATTCCTTCAAGACAATGCACGCCCCCATATGGCCAAAACAATGGAAACCCTCCGGAATTTGAAATGGAACCTTCTGACACATCTGCTGTACAGTCCCGATTTGGCCTCAAGTGATTTCTACCTGTTCGGAAGGCTCAAATCAGACTTACAAGGCATGCGGTTTGTGGACGACACCATCATCCAGACTGTTAGGGAGTGGATATGCCACCAACCACAAGCCTTTTTTGAAAAGGGCATCAGGATGCTTCCAGAACGCTGGAAAAAATGTGTTGACTCCGGAGGGGAGTATGTTGAAGACTGACAGGTGCAAGTAAGTGTTTGTTTATTACAGTTAAAAAAAAAAAATCAGTCCCAATCATATTTCAACCACATTGTATTCCATGTCCTTTCTTACTGTAGCTCACTTAAGCTATCCACATTGTCTTAGCCCAAGGAGGTGCTAATGCAATTCACAGGACCTATTTTAATGCCTATTATAGTCGCATTGCTCTATCTATAAAGCATCTTTCTTATACTTCTTTTGGCTTATTTTGGACTTCATCCATCGTCTGGTATGTAAAAGACAAAAAACCACGACATTTCGGAGACTGGATCTGTCTCCGTCTTCAGGTGGATAGGGAAGGATAAACCTGCTCAGTTGGGCCCGTTAGAAAGAGCTAGTCTCAGTCACTGGTCCAGTGATTGAGACTATTCCTATCCACCTGAAGACAGAGACAGATGCAGTCTCCGAAATGTCGCGGTTTTTTGTCTTTTACATACCAGACGATGGATGAAGTCCAAAATAAGCCAAAAGAAGTACAGTATACACCATCGTCAGAATCCTTTCAAGTCCATCTTTCTTCTCATTATTATCTGAAAGAACTGCGACATAGTAATTTTTTATTAGTTAGTAACAAAGACTGAACAAAACAATATTGACATGATACAGTGTAGATAGGTTATACCACCAACTCCCGTACTAGGAAGCTTTATCTTCAAGTCTAAGCTGATACTACAGTGTGACAGCAACATACCTGACCAAGGAATATAGAGTATTGCACTGCTGAACAATTCAGAGTAGCTGCAACCAACTTCAACGCAGAAAACTGTAAGAAGAGAAACAATATTTACAGCAAATTCAAAGACCATGCTCAAGTATTTTGTTTCTAGTACATAATGTGCCACTTACCGTGACCTCTTCAGCCCTTGTCAATTGATTTATCCACTTTTTTAGGCATAAATGTAGAATTTGACTGAAGCCAGACAGATGTTCATAAGAAATAGTCACTTCAATTCGCTGAGTACTCTTTGCTACTTTCTGCCTTGCTGACCTCTTCCCCTGGGCATCTGCAACTAGCATAGCTTCTTTCAATAAAGACATCACTGCTGCCCCATGCTCATGGCCAAATTGGGAACCTAACTCTGAAGTTGATGTAGCAGAGTGATGAAAGTGAAGCACACTCATGAGCACAGGATATAAATCACTGAAAACAAAAAGACATAACAATTCTTTCTGCACCATCAATTTTGGTCTTGACACCATGTGTAATTTACATTCTGAACAACAACAAAGTATAAGGCAATAAGACATTCAAAGTCTTATGACATAAAGCAAGTGGCTTGACAGAACTTACTCCTACCATTTGGCTGGAGTCCATAAAACAGTATTTCCCAACCTTTTCACTACCAAGGGCCCCTTTTATTACCAAGACTACTTTTACTCATGGACCCCTATTTTTCAAGAACTCCTTCTGCACATTTAACAGATTTTATCAACTAATAATTTACTGTTTGATTTAGGGTTCTTACAGTGATGCATATGAAGTACCCTACCTCCTGGGATGGAGCATTGTGTAGCCTGGAGAAACTCAAGTAACATTTCAGAAGAACATATCACCTTCAAAGAATAATAATATGTATACAGTGGCCGTCTTGCAGTGCACTCAATTTCACCCGTCACTTCACAACATGTTTTGGCAACATAGTGCCATCATCAGGTGTCCCAATTACGTCAATCTATTGCATTGCCCACCCTCACATGTTTTCACAACACCATTTAAAAAGTATTCAAAAAGTCCGTATTCGTCAACTATGATAAATCTACACTCACCAAAACTTGCAATAGATTGACGTAATTGGGACATCTGATGATGGCACTATGTTGCCGAAACATGTTGTGAAGTGACGGGTGAAATTAAGTGCACTGCAAGACGGCCACTGTATACATATAATGGATGAAAATCAGTGCAACAGGACGCTAAAATATAACATTCAAAGAATAAGCTTGATCAGTTGACTCTGAACAGACTACACATATCTTAGAAGATAAGGCTCTTAATAATAAACTCATTTTTCACTTTTTGCTTTTCACATCACCTGAAACAAAATGAGGCTGTATCTTGGAAAAAGTGTGTTTGCAGATATATGTTCATAGGAACTTTTTGCTTTATTCTCAACCTCTCAATACACTCCACATTTTTCTTATATAAAGTGATAGTATGCTATCACAACGCAAAAATGAAAACATAAAATTCATTATTTCACAACCATAAATTAATGAACTTCCAGTAAATATGACTCACACAAAGTGTCCATCAGACAAGCTATAAGCCAGTAGGGTGCTCCATAAGTAGATGCTCTCCAGGCACAGTCGTACAGCCTCTTGTTCAGGAAGACCACACTCCCTGAAAGAGTGACATAAATTTGAGAGACAAAAATGTATGCCAACATACAATGGTCCTTAATGCTATAGACACCAAGTGATATTTTGAATGGACCTTGGCATTAGTCTCTGGAATTTGTTTTATGTTCATAACACATATACTCCATTCCTTAGTTTAATAACACAACCCATACAAGCAGAATTATACATAACAGTTACAATATATACAGATGCAACAGAGTGACATATTATTACTAAATATAAATCAATCATAGCAGCTGTGAAAAAGCAAAATTAATGGCTGGGGGGGGGATTTGTTGCACTGACCACATGACACCCTCTATCCGCTAAAAGTTGGTACTAACTTCGCTGACAAGCAGTGGTTGCTCGATTGGTAAGTTCGCTTGTGGACTGAAACCATGGAGTTTGTTCTGTTTGTATTACATGCCGTAATTTTTCACAGCGTTTCATATTAAATACCTGACTTCCTCTTCTCCAGCTCTCTGAATGGCTATGTAACAATTCTGAGAAGCTTTTTCTGTTGTGAATGGTGAATGTCTGCTCATGGCCTCAACATTCTTCATTGTCTTTGCCTACTCAACAAGGTGGAAGAATCTACACTCTTTGCTGAGTACTCACCCACGTGGAACCATTATTTCCAATGACAGGACGTTTGCAAGAATGAAAGCAAATATGGAGCTTACCATGAGCTCTGAACCATGGTCAGTGTTGAGTATTCAAAATGTACTGAAACTCTAAGTTTAGACACAGATATTGGCTATCATCTGTGCACAAACAAAATGTGGATCCAGGTTTGGCTGATGAGCAAACTCTATCCCCATGCCTCCCCTACACTTTCTCTTCTACTGTAATCAGCTGGGGAACATACTGAGTATATGGATGTCAGATGACCAAAATACAGCAGCTGATGTTCACAACAACTACATATAGTACCTGTAAGTATTTATAAAGCCCTGCTCGAAGCCTTCATCACAGAAGTAAAATGAAAAAACAATGAAATCCAAACAACACAAATAATACTGAGAGTGAGCTGGTCATGTATGTACACAAAAGAAAAACAGAGAAGTGGCTGGTGATGGGAGACAGTTCAAGTCTAAACATAATTTTAAATACCAGCCAAGCCTTCATTTAAAATTTTCAACCCAACCACCACTAAAGCTATGCCTCTTCCCAGCAACCATTCATGGACCCATAGATTCAGGAGTCTCACATAAACCAGTCCTCCTGGAGACGTACACTAGCTTCTCGAGCCTGTTCAGTGGACACCTTGAACCAGAATACTGAACATAAGCACCTTGTAGTTACCTTGGAACAATACTGATGTAACTGGCTATAGACTCCACCACCCGAAACTTGTGGACAAGGTCTGATGCCATGGAACGGGAGCAACTGGCTATCACTCGCAGCAGTTTGAGGGCTTCCACCTGTGGGACTCCATACACTGAAGACGTCTCTGAGGACTTACAGGACGCAGCTTTAAAAGAGACAGTACACCATCATTACAATAATTCAGTATGATAAATACCATGCATCATACACAGAATGACATTCTCAACATTGTTAGAGACTCTGTTAATATGAATGCTATATTTGTATATATTGAACTTTTTTTTCTTTTTTCAATAATTTACTGGAAGTATGAGAAGATATCATCCTGTGAATTAGATCAACATCAGTAGAGGATGAAAGGATGTGTCACAGTTTAGACAGATGGAATCCACTGGCATATTATGTTTCCAAACTGGCAATACAGCAGGATCTCTTACGAGCACTTCAGTTTTTCACTGCCACTCATGACATAAATACAAGGCATCACTCACTGACCACTGCTTGTGAGGTGTGTAACAGGACCAATTAACTGGCATTTCAGGTAAACCATGGGTGTCAGCTGGGACTTGATACAATCTGGCACTTGGGGGAACTTAGAGAAATCAAAAAAGTATAAGACAGTATACAATATGGATAATAATTTGGATGATGGAATATAGGAACAGAAAACAGTGGATTAAGGGAAATAAAATGAAACTGTTATTTCAAAGTTCTCTGCCAGACAATGGACTTTAACACTAAATCAAGGAAAATCTTATAAGCATGAAATTTAATAATTAGATCTAGAAGTACATGGAAGAAAGAAAAGTCTACACAGGAGAAACAAGTAAAAGTAAAAATAAATTAAAACACAAAACTCTTTCAACTGCCTTCGGGAATCATTAACGAATGAAGTAAACATTCAGTAACAATTAATACAGGAAAGAAACAAAGCTTATATGTCATACACTGGAGACTTATGCATGACAAAATTACTGACATGTTATCCGTTAGCTGGTACAAACCTATGCCTCTCCAACCACTTCGCACAAAATTATTGATGATTATAGATAGCAATCTAGGACAACAGGTTACTGCAAGTGCGGAATCATAAGAGTGGCGAACAATCCTTGTAAGGATCTCCAGCACACTGATGACAGCTTTTGGACCTGGCTGCAATGTTTCCAGGATATACCTGAAACAACGCACTTTAAGATTTAACAGTTATGAAGATTACAGTGTGGCTTAAGAAGGAAAGAGTAGAAAGTGCTCTTATCTGGGTCTACTGCTCAGAAATGTGGAAACAAAATTTCTCATAAAACAGTTATGCATACAGCAAATGTTTTATTTCACTGAGTATTCATAATTAACTACTTAAATGTCAAGATTAATCTTCTGGAATATGACACTATGTTACATCCCAGAAAACCACAATCTTGATATGATATTCACTGCTGTGGACTCAAATCTCAGTAATCACCTCATATCAACTGATTCAGTCATGTAATTTCATTTTATTACAGTCATGTGTTAGTGACTAGAAACAGGGTTTGAGTTGACAACTGGATTTACTGAATATTTATAACTCATAACTACACATAATCACTGATTTACACACTCTAAATCATTACAACTACAGGACATATAAAGTCCTCTGTTTGTTTACTAGTCACTGCTAGGTAACGGCTCTTAACAATGCAACTCAACGCTGATAACCGCCACCTCCGACTGACTGCTGACTCACATGTTTGTCCAGCTGGTCCTCGGGATATAATTTTGCAATGGACAATACAGAAAATGCTGCATCCTCTATTGTTGTGTCAGTATCTGTTCCTGTGGAAATGTGTTTACTGTGCTGTTGCCTAGCAATGGTCAATCCATTCATTAAATTATTCTGACTTTCAGCCATCTGGTCACATTATGTTCAGCAGATACAGAATCACTTGCAATTCCAATAAAGATCAATTGTTGCACATATTCACAATGGTAGACTGTAATCCATACCATGAACCATATTGTCACTTCCTTGTATAAATGGAATATGACCACAGGTATGTTTATACCTGACACTATGGAGCTTGAACTGCTTATTCCATTTTGCCAGTAGAAGTAATATTATTTGAAAAAAAAAACACAATCTACAGAAGTGAGGCACCTTGACTTGGTGATATCTCATGTATATGAATAAAATATTTCCAAGTATGGGATCTCAGACTACATGGTCAAGCTCGCAGGCGTCACATATCAAAATCTTCATATAATAATGCATGTTCTATTGCATGTATTGGTTTCATGATAAATGAAAATCAGCATATGGAATGTAAAGAATATGTTGTCTTCAGTTTGGCATTCATGAAAGAACAACACCAGTATTTTTGATAAACACTCTAAGAATTAATTAATGCATTATAAAATATGTGAAGTGTAGGTGTACTCACATTTTGGAAGTTCAGATGATTCTGAAACACAATTCTAGGATGTTCTATCTGAAGAAGTAGTGTGCCTATACCTACAGCATCAACACTAAAACAACAATGGTTACTTCTTAGAATGGCGACCGTCTTACCTCAGTCTCAGTATCAAATCTGTCCTCAGTGCACCCTTCACAATGTCCAACCTCAGAATTTGGTGATCCTTCAACTCGGCTTCTTCATCCCCCTGCTCTGTCTTCTCACTGGGTTTAGTCACCTCAGTCTTCACCATGAGGGTTGGCTGGTACTGTCCATTCCAGAGCCCAAGTAACCGGTCCAGGCAAAGCTACAAGTGCAATTTAGGTATCTAATGTAGACCAGACATGCTGTTCCAACCCCTCAGCATGGAGCATACAATATTATTTTTGTTATTGCTAGTGGGGTGGGACTAAGTCCCTTGTACTGCGGCCACTTCTGGCCTATTGTACCATCCCCAGTTGATAGGTGAGGGTGGTGATTGTGGAGCAATTGGTGGAATGAAGATTGGCAAGGGAAACCAAAGTACTTGGAGAAAACCTGCCCCCAGCGCCACTTTGTCCACCACAAATCCCACTTGACCAGACCCGAGATCAAACCTGGGCTGCCGTGGTGGGAAGCCAGTGACTAACCGCTTGAGCTATGGTGCAGCCATGCAGTATACAATATTACACATTATGATTTTGCAGCAATCTGCAATAGGCAGCAATGTCTTACACCACACATTCTGCAAAACTGCACTGTAATACAGTGAAATTCATATTTAATAAATCTCTGGGGGGATGGCTCTTCTTATATTGAATCAGTTTTTGCTGACGTGGGGGGTTATGCAAAATTATATCAAGAAACTGTCCACTATTGTAAAAGACTTACTATATATAATTTTAAAAAATTTTTGCACAAATGATATATAATTACACCAGCAATATAATAGCTATATATCCATCGATCCGTCTGTACATTCCACTTCTTCTTGCAAAAGGCATGTCATTGAAAAAAGTAGGGAATACAAAAATCTTCCTCTTAGAGAAACAACCCTGGGAAAAATCATTAATTCTACTCTTATATGCACGAGTTTGATCCATGTGATTTTTTTCTCCATATGAACAGCACTGGGGCTGTGATGACAGTGAGTACGTAGCCTTTATATATCCTATAGCTACTATGATAAAGTGTGTTTACACTAGACTATAGCATAACATTTTATCATCTCTACTTATTTTAAGATACTTGGGTTGTGTGACGCTTTACTTCAATTTTATACATGTGAAATTTCAAAAGATAGACCACTTTAATGTGGGAATGCAGTTTTCTTTATATGGTCTGACCAAGTGGGAATATTAATTGTTGTTTCGACCACAATCACACCACACTGTGGTACAAGTTCTGAAGTTCAAAAATTTCTTGCACTCACTGTGGTTAATCTCATCATCATCACCATCAGCAAGACAGCTCTTTTTGAGCCACAGCCTCCCTCGGAATATTTGCCAGATTTGTCTAAATTAGAACCGCCAGTTTTTACTTCTTTAGAATTTCCAACATTTTTTTTTTTTGCAGAGCAAGGCCATCAGCCTTGTATCCGCCCGCAACCTGGAGAACCAAGCCTCTGCATTTATGTCCCCCAGTGACAGGATGGTACAGTTATACCTCCAGGTATCAGGTTCTCTTTGTCACCTTCAACTTGAAGGATTATGGTGGAGGTATGCTAACCTGCCTCTACATGGAATGCGAATTATTTACTATATCAAAATTTGATGAGTCTGGGAAAATAAAACATACATTCTTTATATTTGGCTTCAACTGGGACCAGGGAAAATTTTCGAGAAATGCAGGAATTTTACATTAGGATTCCACTGTATTTGACACGTCTAATTTATGAGAAACTGGGATGTGATCTGGATTAAATTGGTTCAGGCTAAGATCCAATAGCATGTTTTTATGATCAGCTAATTAAGAACGTTATGCCAGAAAGGATGTAGAAGGAAAGAGCTATAGACTATTTTAAAATCCACACAGAGAAACTGATGGTGGGTATTGTAAACACTGGTACAGAAAATTTTTCATTTCCTGAAGCATGAGCCTTCCTTTCTAGTGTCTTCATGACTGCAAATTGTACCTCATCTGGGTGATTAAACAGCAAGTTTCTCAGGGCAAGAAGTGTTGCAGTAACCACAGCTTCAGAGCTGTCATCCAATGAGAACCGAAACAACAGATACAAGTCTGAGTCCATCAGCTGATTCAACACAGGTGCTTCCATACACTCATCATAGTAGCCAGCCTTTGTCTGAAAAGCAAGATCATTTTTACTGACACATATGCATGAATAAAAAACCCTCTTTTCTGTCAACTGCTACAAGTAAAATCTGTATAACCGTGCATTCATTTAATCTTTAATGTACAGGAATAGAGGAGATTTAGATCTCCCATTACTATGGTGCAGGCAGCTGGATTTTAACTTGGTGGCCATGAGATTTAAACTGCAAACAGTATGACATTAGGCCTTCTGGGGTCTGCTGGACACATCCATGCTTCAACACAGTTGGCTGATGTACAAACAATAAAGGTTAATAAGATCTAAGATCCAGAGACAGGGACTAGCTCTATCGATTGGGCCCAACTGAGGATTTACCTGATGACTGAGACAGAATTCAGTCTTTGAAACGTTGTGTTTTGAAAAATAAACAGGACGGTTTTTAGATGAAGACAAGATGATGGATAATGTTCAAAAACATAATAATAATGATGATGATGATGATAATAATAATAATAATAATAATAATAATAAAGATTAATTACTCACCAGACCAACGTTCTGGAAACAGAACCCAAAAGTTAAATAAATCCTGCATGACATAGCAGCACTTTCTTCAGATACATTTTAACATCACCCTCCAGTCATCTGCACAGTTTTCTATTAGAACTCCAGCCTTTCCATTCATATGTATACTGCAACACTTAACTCTTGAACCCTAATTTAGATCTTGTTGAAATACAAAATAGTAGGTAATAAGGCAATTGAACTTCACCTGAAGATTTAATTAACTATGTATGGTATTAAGCACACACACATTTAGTGAAAAGCTTTACAGATTTCAATTCAATTCATTTCATGTTTATTTATGTGCAAACTTAACAGCACAGAGGCCAATTACAAAGTTAGCACAAGTATGTAGAAAGACACAAAATACCTAAAAATCAAAACACAAAATTAGAAAGTCTATACAATGGCAATAAATTAATGACAATTCCATAAAGAATTAAATAAATTTGATAACACAAATAATTTGCGAGCACATTTCCTACATTACAAGATACCATTTTAGGAAAATTTGTATTATTTTGAGAATATAAAAAGGCTATATGGATGTTCAAATGCATGACAGTGCATGCTAATGAATCGCGCTCAACAAAATTCTGGGCACCACATCACCATACAGCCTAAACTATTCCATGATTCTTAGTGAGTGACTACAGATGAAGTCTGGATTGGTAAATGGACTTACTGAACACTCACAGAGCGTAACTATACGTAATTATAGTGCTATCATTATTTTTCTCTTCTCCACAGTATCTAGACTGGCTCTGGGGCCCGCCCAGCCTCCTATCCAATAGTACAGGGTGCTCTTTCCCTAGGGGTACAGTGCCTAGGATGCGAAGCTGAGCACTCACCTTCATCTCGTTCTGGGGTCAAGAATGGTGGAGCTATACCTCCACTCCCCAATGTTTTCATGGAAAGTGCTTAATTAATTAAACCCAGGGACAACTTTCTCTTTTATCTACCATACTTTGATATAATACTATAAGTACCTGACTTGCACAGATATGTAAGCAAAGATATCTCTTGGAATATAGTTATTGTGTAACTGACTAAAAGTAATATATCTGTAATTTTCTTCAATTTCTGTAGGGTTCCTAATTTTTAGAAGTTACACTTAGATCTATAGAAAACTTCATATGTTGAACTCCCTTCACCTTGTCCAGAATGTTAGCTAAGGTAGTAAGTGCCAGAACTCGTTGTTGCAGAACAGAACTGCGGGATATTTTGAGAAGTTCCTGCAATGTGTAGCCTGGACGCTCAGGTTCTTCACCATGATGATGCAACGCTTGGGTCACATTTACTTCATCAGCATATGGCAGCAGAACACCTGGCAATACAACAATACTCAAGCCACAGTACATATAGTTTATTGTTCCTAGAAGCAGCAGTATACATTCCTCCAATGGAAACTTCTCTCTATAAAAATACAGTTAAATTTACTCAAAATACTCATGTCGTAAAAAACATTCAGTGTATTTTTGGAAGTCTCAGATGTTAAAGAAAGCCTTAAGCTGATGTTTCAAGGAGTCAAGACTTTTTTTTTTTCTAAAAATATGTAATGGGTCAAAATCTACTTTTGCGCTTTGGAGTAATCTTGGCTGCAAGAAGTCACTTCAAAATCCAGTACGTTGCCATATACTTTCTTAACTAACCACATTCACAGGTTTTGACTTTGCTAAACATCAAAGAAGCAGAAGACAAAGAAAAATGTTCACTGGACCTTATGAGTACAAAATCTGAAACCTGTGACACAGGAAGCTCATGTAAATAAAACAAAATTACCTTTGACCCAGAAAGCTCACATAAATGCTATATAATTACCCATACTTAGCATATGGTCACAAAGACATAAAGTCGAGAAAATCTGAGCTCTAACAGTTGAAAAAGTTGTGGCTCCACCTACATACCATATTTATAATTTTTATTCCATAATTTTAGTCCAAAAATGGAGATTAGATCAATATGCAGGTCAGTCTCTCCTGCTTTCAATATGCCAAAAATGTATAACATATGTCAACGTTCACTTAAATTTACACATTACCTACCAATCCATATGATCACATCATTTCCATAAAGCAGGAAATGAGAAACATGAAAAATTATTTTAACAAAAATATAAGTATTAAAAATAAACACATAAACATAAGACACCTTCTTAAAACACACAAATATCTTAAGAGAATAAACCACTCAGTGATATCTATGCCAATGCCATAAAGTGTCACAACATGAAGTGCCTATGAAATTTATGAACTCAGGAATTTCAAATTAAAATAAAATAAATTTCCTCAAGTTAGTGTTGAAATCCACAGTTCCCGAAAGAAACCTTAAACCGTGATTCACCTCACCAATGACACACTGGAGTAGGCATTACAAATATATATGGAAATTCTGGTAATTTAATCTCGATATGTGACCAACAAAAACACTGAAACAGGATATTAACATATTACTTCAATAAGATGTAGCAGATGAAGCCATTACTAAAAAAAATATGTGTTCTTATTGCATAAACATATCTCNTTTCACGCTGGTTGAGTTCACTAGTTTCAAACTGACTTCATTTTCAAATATTACTTCCACTTTTCTGTATCTCACATACAGAATCAATTCCAACTGTTTCAACTTCCAGAAATTTTACTTTTAAGGATCCTGGAATGATCACTTGGGTAAATTTTTTTACAACTGAGGCTTCTAGTGTCTGTAATCTCTCATAATTTTTTCAATGAAGAAAAAATTATTTTCTGTTGCTGTGTTCCAGTTTTCTTAATTAAATTAGATTTCACTTGAAAAAAACGTGAAAAGATTGTATACCGGCCACATACACTTTACTAACATTGTAAATGAAAAACATGTGATTGCATTTTGGGAAATAAAATGTGAGAAGGGTGATTTCTGGATATAAATGGTGCCATACATCATGCTGTCAGAAGAAATATGCATGTGTGATTTGAAGACAAACAATTATTCATAAAATGATGGGAAGTTTAATGGCAAATTAGAAGAACATAAATATTTGCCAACACAAAAACAGTGCAAGCTATATGTCCATAATAATGCAAATATTATAAGATCAAAATGCAAATTTGTCACCAAGATAGAAATTTTTAACCTTAACAACTAACTTTCAATTCAGAACTTCAACAGGACATGATATAATGCTATTTTTCTACCTTGGAAGTCAAACCTTGCAGAGTATGGCGTGTCTGGTGGGGCTGAAGGAGCAGGAGGCAGGTTGCCAATCCACTGCAACTTCTCGCGCTCAATAACATCCATGTGCAACCACTTGTTGGCTTCACTGGGCTTGACGGGCAAGTCAACTGCTATACTGCCCATTTCAGTATCAGTCTGACATGAAGTACTGTCATTCTCCAAGCAATTGCTTTGTGCTTGCTTATCAAGTCCTGATGTCATAACAGCAGCACCAGAAATCTGAATTTTGTCCTCTGAGTGACTTATATTTGATATGTCTACATTATATTGTGAAGGTGACATCCCAACATCCCTTGACACTTCTGACAGTAAATCAGTATCCATCTTCATAGAACTTGAATCCTCAGAGGTTAATTCAGGAATATCTGTAGGCTGTTCGACAGTCTGATCCACTATCCCACAAAATTCTTTTCCCTTTCTTCTTGATCGGATAAACTGAAGCAATTTTGGATCCAGTTGAGATGTAAGTTTTTGTTGTTCTTGGAGTATCTCTTCTGTAGACATTTCAGACATTTTTTTAATGTTCTCTTGGTGAATAGCTGGGGCATCGGGTCCAGTTAATAGAAAGCTTCTTTGTCCTATAACAAAAATTCTGAGAGTGAAACAATTTATATGTTGAGAAACATAAAACTAATGACCAAACAGGTTATATAATTTGTGTTGCATTGAGCTTGTGTTCAAGAGGTACCTAGTCTGAATATCTTGATCCCGTTTTCCCTGCTTTTCCTTTGGTTTTTAAAGATGACTGTCCAGACTGTATCTTAAAATATGCCATGACTATTTTACCACACATCAACATGCTCCCATGTTATTCCAATTATGTAAATCTGTAGTTCATGTAGGTTCATTAAAATACACATTCTTTGCCATAGAAAACACATGCCTGTAACACATGACGTGGTTTTGTTTCAACGTACACCAAAGCTATGATCATTAGTATACCACATGAGAGACAAACTCAATGTTGAACAGAGAGTTAAGCTTTTATTCAACAAATGTAGAACGTGGAAAGGTGTAGTCCAATATGGGGCATGCATACTTTTTCCAAATGTGTTATTTGCAATGCTGCATACCTCACTGTCCATACTGTTCATTTATTGCAAACACAAACCCAAACTAGAAATAAATTATTTTTCCTTGGTTTTTGTTGAACAGAGTTTCAAAAAATGTTTCAAATTAAAGTTATAAACTATGACATACAGTTTGTTGAATAATTCTGCTGGATATGCTATTCAGAAAAAATGGACTGAAATGTTTTTCTTTTTTCAGTTAATTGCTAAAGAAGGGCTCTAAACATTGTTCAGTGTAGCACTTTCTGTTATCAGCACATGCTTCAGATGATGCCAGTTTTTATCAGCATCAAGAAAAGGACACTACACTTTGCAATGGGTTGCTCAGTATACTTTAGGCAAACAGAAACTGTAAGAACATGAAAAAAATACCCTTACTCCATTTGGCACACACGACAAATGTGAAGGTGATTTATGAAGAAAACTGTTACAAACCTAACACTGGAATTGTAATAGATGCAAAAATGAATTTTAATATGGATGATGTGATGGAAACTTCTTACCAAACTGACTGTCTGCAATCTCAATGTCAGCTGGCTGATTTGCTTCATGGGTATCCATCAACATTTCCTTTGGTGTCCCACTTCCTCTCACTTTTTCAACTTGCTGAGCAAAGATACTCTTTCCTTTAAAAACTAGCTGTAAATGAAACAAAACAAAATAAATGATCTGGTGCCAAATTAAATCGGTTTCACAAAAACATGTGCAGTGAGTGAAAATTCACCATAGCAAAATTCAGATGGCTTTCTTAAATTGGAATTCTTTAAATGTTTCTTAATTTTTTTAGCAAGATATGGGAAGATAAAGTATTTTACAGTGAACATCAGTAACAGTGTACAAGATAAATTAAAAGTATTATAAGTATAACCTCTGACGAGACTCTACATCTCCAGGAGAAGGCCTGTAAAAAATGGAAAATTTCTGCTTCTTAATATCCAAAAGAGGGCCACTAAGCTTAATACTGGGAAGGGCTAAATTACGAATTTATCTGTGCAACTGAACAAGGATTGTGATACACCAATACAAAAAACATACCATTTCATCTCTCACAAATGGTTCAGGGAATCCTTCACATGTTAGTGCCCTAGGAGGTGGCACAAATATATGTGTCATATTCTTCTCCTTGACCTCGCCAAGAATATCTGGTCCAACTGTAAACATTCCACGAAACAATCACTACCATATCAACCTGTATGCACAACAGGTTTGGCTCTTTACATTTCACCTCTTCTGGTGTAGCAGTGATAAATGTTGAAACTATGGAGAATCTGTGGCCTGTCCTAAAACTTTTAAGACAAGCTAACATAAAGAGCATCTTCATTACAGTCTACTCACAGTACGGAAAGTCTAGATTCTATAGTACACTTCTACTGACAGGATACTATAGCACACACATGTGTTGCGTAACTGTTTAACATTATGAATATTGCAAGATCTGAGGTTCTCACAACTGTGACTATGAAGAATACTGCCGGGTATATTATTCTCTGTAGTGTGGGAGGAGTTCACTGATATTCCTTCAAAACGCTGGCAAACATGCCATGACCATGCCATTGCAAGCAACAGTTGATGTCCCAACGAGAATAGGACCTAGAAGTCAAATAGCAATAGATCAAACAATACTGAACAAGGGCTTAGGGGGATACAATCTTAAGGTGATTGAAACAGGATTTTCTGAACATAAAGCACAGATACTACAAATTTATACGAGTATAATNTTATTTTAAGAGATATAATATATACACTACGAGAAATACTGATTTATACGAGTATAATACTAGGAGGAAAGATGATCTTCATGTACAACAATGTAACACATCAGTTTTTAAGAAAAGTGTTATTAATGTGGGCATTAAATTATATAATATACTTCCTTTGGAAGTTAAAAAGTCAAAGGGATGTAATGAATTTAAACATAAATTAAAATTATTTTTATTTGATCGTCCTTTCTATACATTGAATGAGTTTCTTCAACAGGGACATAAGGAAGCATAGCAAGGTTTTTTTAATTAACAAAAAAAAGAGAAGAAAAGGGAATTGTAGTAGTTATTGTTATATTTTTAAAATCCTTAGTGACGTTGTAAGGCAAGTACAGTTTTATTTTTAGTCTAATACATTCTAGGATTATAGAGCTTTTAACAATGATGTATTT